ACGAGCCGCTAAGTGAACGGGCCGTTAAGCGAGGACTGTCGATATAGATTGACGACACAACAATTAAAATGGCATGTTTATTTTCTTTTTTTTTTTTGCCAACGCTAACAACCAATGAAACGACTAGTTGAATTCAGGGGGTCGGAGGTCACAGACATTTATTTATAATTTTTTTTTCCCGGAGGTGTGGGGGGGGGGGTGAGGATGGGCTCAGCAGAACTGTTTCAAAGTCACTCGTTTAATCGCTTCTGGGATTATTTGGGGCCCAGCTTAAACCGAGGCTGGGTTTGCATTGGACTCGAATTCGGTTTCACCGATCTTGGTCTAGAATCGCTTTTGTAAACAGGGGCGAGGTTGGGAGGAGAGATCCGGATTTGGAGATCTGCAAATCTGGAAGCCCAAAGGAAAAAGGGGGGGGGGGAAAAAAAAAAGGAAGGAAAAACCCCAAACCCCGGGGGAAAAAATGTACAATGGAAACGCTCCCTCTGTTGCAATCCTTTGCTGACATCCGTCCTCAACATCTGAAGTCTAAGAAGAAACGCTGCCTTTTAAATAGAAGAAACAACGTGGATGCTCGCTCTTTTCGTCGGGAGCTGCTCTCGGAGCTCGGAGAACAACCACATTTCCAAAGGCGACGTTCGGCTCCGTGAAATCGACCCGAGCGAAATTCGGAATTTCTTTGCACCTTCCTGACCGGGATGGAAGAGAGAAGATCGGGTGGAAGCTGACATGATGGCGGTTTAGGAAGGAAATCTTTTTAAAAAATAAAATGAAAATAGAATGTACACAGTTCTAACGAACCACTGTTTATACACATGAAAGCTAGAAAATATGATTCGCTTGTGTTTCTCTACTACAAGGTTCTATTTCGTGGGATGCAAGACAATTTGGTCGGTCTTATTTTATTTTTATTTATTATTATTTTTTTTTTGCCCAAAGAAGAAGAAGAATTTTCGCAGAACGTTTGCTGATTATCGTGGCTGAAATGCTCAAGGTTTTTAATCCTCCTTTAAGGGAGGGAGAATGCCCAGACAGGGAACAAAAAATTTCGAAGAACCACTACCTGATCCAGAACATCTCTGGAGGAAATTCCAAAGAAATTCCAAAGTGCCAGGAGGAAAAATAAATCTTATTTTGCAGGGGTAACGAGGTTGGAAATTTGAAAAATTCCAAGGTAAAGTTCGGCACAGTGAAACTCGTGGTTCTCTCACTGGCCGAGTTGAACGTTGCCTTCGCTTTTATTTGAGATCGATGGGAGAGGATTAATTTAGGTAGTCGAAACACCCTAAAAAACAAGCTCTCTACCCAGCCCATCGTCCCGGGCCCCTCGATTCAGAAGACACCAGGTACAGGAAGCAGTGAGAAGAGTCTGCTTCATGAAGCCTAGGTAGAAAATTGAAGGGCTGCGAGAAAAGACTGGGCCATTGTCCATCAGATACGGGAAATGTGGAATTTGCAGGAAATCCCTGGAGGAAAAGTGGGGTACGATGGATGCACGTGGACCTCAGGCGAGGAGAACAACAGAGAGAGTCAACATGGTCCTTATCGCGAGAGTGTCTTGGGTAGAAGGTCACCATCTTGGTCGCAGTCCTGGACAGGTGGGCCTGGGGGCTTCACGGGGAGAAGGGTTGGGGTCTGGGGACAAGTGCATCTTTGATGGCTCAGCAACATGGTCTATAACATGGAGAGGGGTCAGGATGGGGTGTGGTGGGTCCTCCACCTGGCGTGTCCCTCACAGGAAGCCAACGTTCTCCCGCCTGGTGCGACGTGACGGCGAGGTGGGTGGGCTTGACCGATGGGACAGGGAGCTGTCCATGGCGGGTTTCTCCTGCCCCAGGGGGGGTCCTTCTGCCAATCTTCCACTCGCCGGGAGAGCTGAGAAGGCCAACGGGCGGGCACCTCGGCCTCCCGCGCTGGGATCCTGGCGGGGCTGCCTCCTTGAGGGTCTCAGAGGTGGCTGACGGCGTTGAAGGTTCCTGGCTCAGAAGCGGCTCCAGCCATGTTCAACCAGGCGTCCAGGGGGTTCTGGGAGGAAGGATGGAAGGGGGTGTTCTTGGTAAGAGTCAACATCATTGCGTAAGCCTATGAAGCATAGAAGAAAACAGCACGTGAAAGAAGCAGCGAACAGGAGAGGATCCGATGTCAGAATCCGCGACCGGGATTTCCAAAATCTGGAAGGGTCTGGAGATAGATCGGGGGGGGGGGGCTTCCAGCTGTTGGGGAAAGGGGGGGGGGGTTCAGCTCCCATCACCCAAAGACAGGGAAATGTGGGCACTGCAGGGTGCCCAACACGCTTCAACTCTTCTTGAAGTTGGAGAAACGTGGCTTAAATTTGTACATCTCTGTGTTGGGGGGGGGGGGGCTTCCTGCCCTAGTTAAAACAGAAGGTGACCCTCTAAGGAATCTGGCATGCAAATTTCTCTCTGCTCACAAAGATTGGGAACTGGTTGCTCCAGAACCTGGAACAGAGCGGGTGGTTTTACTTTATTGGAAAGGACAGTATTGCGTTTTAATTTAATTTTAATTGGATTGGATTATCTATGGAAAGAAGGCCCCTTCGGCACCCCTAAATAAAGCAATCGATTCTAGAGTAGGAAAAGAACTGATGGGGAGATTTCTTCGGTGGAGAAATGAAAGACTCCGCTTTCCCAAACGACAGCCTCCCCACATACCCCGCCAAAATCCTGAGACATACGAGACAACATTTAGAACGAAGGCCATGGGGGTCCCCCTTTGCAGATGTATGTCCTCGATAGAAGATAAAATATCGGAGTGAAATCCCCAAAATTCTCTTCTCAACCGCGAGCCGGAGATGACAAAACGAGGCACAAATAAGCAGGACACGGAATCGTTAGTAAACCTTTGGCAAATTAGTTTTAAGTCATGAGAAAGACGAGAGACATGCATGGGAACAAAAATAAAGGAGCCGGCTTTCTAGACAGAAAACGAGATAGAAACGGGGTGGGGTCTCCCCATGCACCCCACCTCAACAGGAGACTTTTGTTCTGCGAAGTTGTCATCGCTGGGCAAAGGCTATTTCTATTGACTCGGAAGTGGCTTCCCGGGGATGCCAGCGAAGGGAGGACATCTTGACTTTTCTACGGACTGGGCGGGGGACGGGACCCAACAAGGAGTTTTCGGAGGGATGCAAGAGCACCCCGTACCAGTCGAGTCTCCTCAAAAAAGACCCTCAAGAGAAATTCGAAAGAAATTCTCGAGCCAACTTTAAAGCGGACAAAGGGACGCCTCTGAGAAAACCGTCAGACGGATTCGAGCCACGGGAAAGTTGGAAGAGGATGTGTGCTTTGCTCAGGTTATTCAGTCTCAAGACGGACCACTGCCACAGGGATGGAGTGGGGTGGGGAATTACAGCCCCTCCTTAACCTGGATAGAAATTGGAATTGCTGGCAAGGATGAGGGGGAGGGATGGGTGGGTCTCGAGGATCTCAACGCTTTGGGGGTCCGCGGGGAAATTTGGCGAGCCTCGCTGCGAAACTCAGGATCGAACCTACCTGGTTTTTGGCCTGCCTGAACAGAGTTTGTTTTAGTGCCTCCGAATCTAAGGTGGAATTATAGACAGCTTTAACGTCAAAAGCTTCCTCGGAGGCCTGGCGGAAGTCCAGCCCCTTCCCAAATTCCGACATCTGTTCCAAATCTAACAAGCCGACTTCGTTCTCCTCAGTACACCTGTACCAAGCACCAGGGAGGGAGGGGAGGGAAAGCAGGGGCGACCTGTTAGTTCCATCCGGCTGCAAACACACTCGGAGAGGGGGGGTTGAGCAGATGCCAGGAAGGGGAGGGGGGCTCTGTAGAGCCGCATGCAAGACAAGGGAGGGCGAGAGACACAGACAGACAGACAGGCTGGCCGATGGACGGATGACAGGTAGACAGACACGGCTATAGTTGTACAAGATCGCTGATCATGGACGTTGGGCATAGCGGTGTGAGCCTGAATTGTACACCGAGGGGGGTGGCGACTTTGAGCGATTCTCCATGTCAAGGAAATTCTCCCCCTGATCGAGTGTTATTGCTTGCTCAAACCACCATGTTCCGAGAGATCTGAGGACCATGGGAACATCTTGGAGTTGAACGCAGCCAAAACAACTTGGCCAGCCTTTTTCTCGTGAATTTCTGGAGTTGGACGTTCTAGCCAGACCTAAATCACTCATTCATGGGGCGTGGAATGAGAAGAGAAAAGCGAGGGTCCCCTCCCTCCCGCCAAGAGAGTGGAAACCCACCTCTGGGCACGGTTAAAGCTCATGGTGAGGGACGCGGCCTCCTCTTCCTCCTCATCCTCATACCCTCCTTGTGGCTCGGCGGTGGGCGACACCGTCTCGTCTTGAGACTTCCCCGTCAGGCTGTCGTCGTCCTCCTCTTCCAGTTCATCTTCTTCCTCGTCGACATCTTCTACTTTGTCGTTCGGAAGACCGTGGGTGGCGCCGTCGGCGTTCTGGATTTCGGGCCTGGTTGAGGGAGAGCGCAAAGGTTAGGACAAGTGTCTACAAAGGCCATGTAGGAGATGACCAGGCTGAGCCCGAGGGAAGGTGGAGTCAAACGCATCATAAGTAACGAGTCCCTTCGCGCCTGCAAGAGATCTAAGTCCAGCCAATCTCGAATGCCTTTCTTATCTCCCGCTCATTTCCCTTGACTGTTAGTTGGCCGGATTCTTGTAGAGAGCTTAAACTTTCTCTTCGGGAGAGAATTGGAAAGGTCAGAGGCAGAGAGAACTGGGCGGGATGTCCTCGACATACAACCACAACTGAGGCGAAAATTTATGTTGGTGAGCAAGAACGTTGTTAAGTGGGTTTTGCCCCGTTTTACGACATTCGTCAAAAAAAATCCACACAGAACTTGGTGAAAACTTTGGGAGGAACCCCATTGTCCACCGCGGTTAATGAGATGAGCCGCAGCTTTCTCGGTGATGTTGCCTACCTTTTCTCCGCTAAAGCCGTCGACTGGTTCATCTCGCTATTGGCAATAAAGTTTCTGATTTCAGAGAAATAGGCGTCTTCTTTCTCGTCTAAAAGTGCTTGGTGTTCCGATTCGGAGGCGGGCGAAGATGCGTTGTTCCCCAAGTGGTTTGCAATGACTCCGGCATGCTGGCTTACTGGAAGAGGAGAAGGAGGAAAAGGAGGAGGAGGAAAAGCAGGAGGAAAAAGAAGAATAGAAGGAGGAGGAGGAGGAGGAGGAGAAGAAGGAGGAGGAGGAAGAGAAGGGGAAGGAGGAGGAAGAAGGAGAAAGAAGGAGAAAAAGGAGAGGAAGAGGAAGAAGAAGGGAGGGGGAGGAAGAAGAATAGAAGGAGGAGGAGGAGGAAAAGAAGGAGGAGGAAGAGAAGGGGAAGGAGGAGGAAGAAGGAGAAAGAAGGAGAAAAAGGAGAGGAAGAGGAAGAAGAAGGGAGGGGGAGGAAGAAGAATAGAAGGAGGAGGAGGAGGAAAAGAAGGAGGAGGAAGAGAAGGGGAAGGAGGAGGAAGAAGGAG